AAAGCAGGGTGAGCTGTGAATTCAGGCCTGTTTGCTCACAGCTCTACTCAGCATGGTCTTAAAAACCTTCAGGGATAGAGGCTGCACAACTTCTCTGGGTAACCTGTTCTGCTGCTTGGCTTGCCACTGTGAAAATGCTTCCCCCTACCTCTACCTAGTCAGTAATTCTCATTTCATTCCTGTTCTCTCTTCTCCATGAGAAAAATGATTAGCGCCACAGAACAAGAAGATTTTAAACATCCTTTGTTAAACAACACAGGAGATTGCTATGAGGAGAAAGAAACTTGGAAAACGGTCAAATCTTTATTCTGGCATTCATGTGGTGTTTGCATCACTGTTTAATGATACTTTTGTTTATATCAGTGTAATGTATACAATACAAAATATTATAATTGATGTACATTCTTTAGAGTATTTTTTTTTTAAACATTTTGTATGGGTTTGTGCTTAACTGGATTTTCTTTGAGCTTTTAACAAGCTCCAAAAGCGTGCAATAAATATTTGGTAGACTGTAGATCCTATTTTAAGCTCCTAAGTACTGGGATTCACTTTATAATTACACTTCAATACAAGTACTTCAGACTTGGCAAATTTACCATGGAGCTAATTTCCAAGCAACTGCAAAAACTAAGACAGTACCAAATATTGTACAACTTATCCAAGGAGAAACAGCATGAAAAGTACACTAAGAAGGAAAATAAAGAAAATCTGACTGGTTGAGGTTTGGGAGGACTGATGGTGGCAGATTCTAACAGCACACACACAGCTGCCCTCTTCATACAAAACTACTTTCGATAAAGGTCAGTCAGACTTGTCAAGATGAGATGTAGTCCCAGTTCTAATCCAGGTCAGATGATGGGATCTGGAAGACTAATCTTTCATTGCTTTTGAAGTTATTTTATCAATTAACACGTCAAACTCTAGGCATCACCACAAACCTCCGCTTTCAATGTGTATATGCACCAGGAGTACATCTACTTGAAGTAACATTAAAACAAAATCAGCAAGGGATTCCCTCTTGCTTGCAAAGCTTGCCCAGCAACCCATGGGGATCTCAGGCACAAGATGTACCATCAGGACACCTGAGCACTTGTATGACTAGTGAGAATGCAAATTGAATTTTCTCAAGAAAAAAGGATTCACTGAAAACTGATACTGGCCAGTTTGAAAAATGAGATTTCATCCTCTTATTTTGCTATATAATCTCTTGAAACAGGAGAGATTTTATAACTTTTGGTTCCAGGAAGCAGAGTGCTCTGTTACATAACATGTATTACTAATAAAAAGACCTCCAGAATGTTTCTTTTAATATGGTTGCAGAGAGGAAAGCGTATTATTTAGGTATGAAAAATAGTGGTTAATAAACTTGATGCCCATTATCCATGGCTCGCTGCCTTGAGCCACTTGACTCTGTTTCACTGCTGTCTGGCTCTGCACGTTCACTCGTTTGGGAGCAAGCGGAGCAACTGTCAGGTTTATCTGTCACAGGGTTGCTGAAAAAGAAAGAGCTGCACAGCGTTTTGTTGTGCCCCCTGTGCAGTGACTGGCAGACAGCTTGGCAAGCACAAGGGCTCATGAAAGAGCCTGTCCACATTCCAGGACAGTTGAAAGACAGGTGAGAAGGACATTCAAATGTATTCCAGTTTCCAGACAGACTGAGATTAGTTTAAGGCCTCTTGGACAGACATTCAAATTGCCAACAGCTAGCATTTACTTGAAAACTTCCACCTTAAGCTGAAATCCTTTCTACTCGTCTGACATTTAAGTGCCAGTTACACAAACAACGGTAACTGAGCACGTGCTGCTCCACAGCTTGGACTGATCACTACCTCAACGAAATGAAAGATGCAGTTTACTATGAAAAAAAATATAAAAAAATCAGATTGCAGCTGTGCCCACTTCTGGAAAAAAGAATAGGTCTCTCAGATCCAAATTGACCTAAAATTCTCAGAAGGCACTTGATCCAGATTGCTGAAAAGAATGTATGAAAAGTATGAGGGTCATGCTGCAGCAGCTTCCTAGAATCCTCCCTCCTGGAAACTCAAACAGGGTAAGGAAAATGACACGGTCCAGGAAAAGATTCAGTTCCACAATACAGATACACAGTTGAACTTGTACAATAACCTTTGCTGCTGTGGTGGTTGAGGTTGCATATTCAGGAAAATATAAGATTTGTGAAATCAGTAATTTAACAAATCCAATTGTGTGATTATTTACAGGAGAATACTAACTATTTAAATAAGATAGCTAATAATGAATACTTCAGAAACAGCATTTAAATTAACCCAATAGGAGTAAAATTAAAAAATAATAAGAACTAAAAACCATCTTGCTTTGCCTGGTTACTTTCCTGCTAAATATGTTATTCACTTACTCTGTTTTGTGTGACAGAAATACAGAATTCTCATATTATCTGGGTCATCTAGAACTTGTTCCAAATTCCTCATTTCCCATACACCAAAGACAAATGGGACAGCTTAAGATGCTGTCATGCTGAGCCGAGTATTACTCTACCCAGCTGTAGTGTTTCTGACATCAGTGGCACTACCTGAAGGTGTAGGGTGCTTGCACAAAACAATTCTGCCTCAACAAAGTGGAACAATTTGGGCCTACAGAGTGACAGTACACTTAAACAGGACAGTGACATTTCTGAGAAACACTGATGAGTCTTATCCAAAACAGTAAATTACAATATTATCTGCTCTGCAATTCCATGTCATTCGTTTCCTTCTAATTAAAATCTGAACACTTTTGCACAGGACCTACTGCCACTCCCATTTACTGAGCATGGATTTCCTTACCATAAGATCACTGTATTTTAAAAAATGTTCCAGCTTATGCTGAGGAAATTATACCGGCTATCAGGAAACTTTCATCAGAGCCTTCTTACCCACATGTCCCCAGACTAATAGGAAGAAATCCAATCTAGAGACCACTGAATGCTAAATTAGATCTAACCATGGAGCACTTTTCCAACTGTTCAGCAGCAAGTCTAAAACCAGCAAATGCTGTTTAAGTGTCCATTAAAATACTACAAGCAATATGCCATAATAGTTGTTTCAAGGTCATGATCAGAAAAGCGTCCATGAGCACTCAATGTTCTCCTCGCCAACTGCTCCTTCACAGACAAATACTTTCAGAAGTCCCCTAGAGCCTCAAGAGCCACAGAGTACTCTGAGAATTTCATGAAGAAAGCAGCCTCTCAAGGCTTACCTACTAACAGTTAAATGATTAAAGCAGTGTTCCCTGTTGTCTGGCATATAGGTTTTGTCTCTCTCAAAAAAGGCATAATCTGCATTAATGCACACAGGATAATTGCTGCATCTGGGCTTAGATATGCAACTCCTTGGAGCCCAGCACTACATGCACACAGTGACTGTAGTATAAAGCATGACAGGTGCATAATGCTTTATTCAAAACATGAGTTATGAAATGGGTGATCTTTCTAATGCGAGAAATTTCATCTATACAGCATCCTAGGTTAGAAAGAGAAATTGCGTATCGCTTCAAACTTGCAATGACAACATACTTTTGGACGGGGGGAAACCAGAAGAGTTATATCAGAATTAATTTTTTTTAATGGTTTCCTTCTCAGAGCTCAAAACAGTGAATAAATTTTTAGCTTTCCTTCTGCCTGCAGCATCCCCACTGTACCAAACACAACGCAAGTCTAACAGCAACAAACATGCCAGACATACCAACACGCACCCAGTCACTTCCATGCTTACTGTTCTCATGCCTGTTAAACTATCCCCCTCCCAGATATGCAGTCTTGCTTCTAGTGCAGAGGCTGATCATGAGGGCACTGCAGTAGCAACAGAATGGTGAGATATGGGCCAGGAAAGAAGAAAGGAGAGGCCAGAAAAAGTATATGCGTAACGGGCTGAGACAAAATCATTGGCTGTCTACAGAAGATGGACAGCTTGCCACCACTGCAGCTCAAGGGTTTGTCGTAACCAAACCACGTGTGCTTTTGCTCGTCTTTCTCTAGAACAAGGTGGCCCATGTCAGCAAATAAAATCTTATGGCTAAATGACACATCAGAATAATCCTCTGCTTCACAAACATTCACAAAATTTCTAGTTAAGGCAGAAAGAATTAACATATATAATAAATGCTATGGTTTTTTATTTTATATTTTATGCCATTTAATATTGGAGGGTGGTGGGGGTACATGTGTTATAAGCCAGAATCACTTAGTTTTATATATCACCTTCTCTGAGAGCATCATCCATGATGATATTAGGAATGCATGGAAGTTAAACTCACTTCACATCTGCTCCCTCTACTGACTGGCTGCAATAGCAGCTGACTCCCCTCTCTGAAAGAGTTATGGATTCCAGTGTGATGATGGAGATGAGTGCGTGCAATTCGGAATTTCACATTTGGCTTAGGAAATTCTTTATGCCACATTAATAAATACTGACGAGTACACGTTATACCCCTGATTATAACAATGTATTAAATCACACACGGCATAAAATACTTGAATATACAATTGAGTCTGAAATGATTTCTCTTACAACTAAGCCACACTTGGTGCAGTAAGAATAAAATACTGAGCATGGCTGATAACAATAAGGTCTTTCATATGCAATTTTGCTTGCATGTGCAGGTACTTGCAACACAGTAGTCCTGAAGGATCTAGACACTCAACCACAAATGCTAAAAGCGTAAAAACAATCAGATGGCACCTCCGCCCTCACATCAGCCACTGACCAAATTTCCTTTCTTGGACTTTGCTGAGGCTCTCATTTCCTCCTCACACTTAAATCTTCTATGTCTGTTATAATCTGTGACTTGCACTGTGCTATAAAACTGTTGGCATATTACCTTTCTTTTTTCAATCCTTGCCTTCCTTTTGCCCGACACAGAAACAACAGACTAGCACGTCCCAGTGACTTTTCAATGGAAAAGGTGATTATGTTAATGTTAGAAGCCGAAAAATCAGTAAATCTAGTTAGTCTGTAAAATAAAGAAGAGGAAAAGATCATACTTACAGCAGCTGCAGAGACACAAGATCATCAAAAAGGCCCTGGGGAATCTCTGTGATCTTGTTTCCATAGAGCACTCTGAAAGATACGGGAAGGCAAAATAAATCTTAAATAACAGACCAGTTTAGTGTCCTCCCACATCTCTGCATTATCATCTTTATTGATCTTGTGTACCATGCCCAGGATCTGTGGGCATTTCATTTAACTACTGATCTCATTTTCTTTTCAGAGAGCACACGGTATCCAATGAGTCGTTGTGATTCAGGCTTCGTCTGGTGTTGGAAAGCATTTCTAATGTAGAAACTGGACATTATCCAGAAAGTGTATCTAAAATATTTTTCATTCTGTCAAGGTTTTTTTCACCCTTTTTAAGTATTTTAACCATTGAAAAGCACATTGCAGGAATCAAAGACCTAGAATTCTGCTCAGAGATAGTGAATTTAAAAGCAGAAGCTAGTTGCAGATAAAACTTCACATAATTGACCCTCTCCAGATATAATAATTGCCAAGAAATGTGACACAGACATTGGTGGATAAAATGTTACAGCTTCACCAGCTGCTATTACAGTTTCAACTGGCTAATATATACAAAAATAATAAATAAAGGAAAAGTCTGAACTGGGAATAGTCATATATTTTGGAAACGCTGAAGTAATTTAGGTACAGTTTAGGTACAAAAAAAAAACCAACAATGAAGATTAAACACACAAGTAAAAGGCACTGTATAAGCCTTCATTTTTTCAACTATAAATATATGCTCTCATATTTATGATTCATTTCAATAATAAAAATATTTCCTTTTTTATTGAAAAACTGAAGACATATTATCATCAGAACTAAAAAAACCCCCCCCACACAAAACCACCATTACAATACCATACCCTACATAGGGATCAGAACAAAATCATAAAACAGGACTTCAAACTTCTTAAAGCACTTTCTCACGAAATTTTTGTAAGTTGATAAAATTTGCCCAGACGAGAAGGTGAGTAACGAGTTCATAAGAGCCACAGGAACAGGGAAGAGCTCCAGGCTCCCTCTGAATGTTACCCCTTGACCATTTTAGTAGGCATCAAATTGAGGAAAACAAGATTTATGTTATTTGCGGGCTCTGCACTGGATGCAATAAATGGTTACAAACCGGTTCATGCCAAGCTGTGCTGCTCGTGTCACTGCAACGGTTCATTCCCAAACTTTTTAATGTGCAGCAACACGCAAGCAATGAATCAAGCAGCTACGTGAGGCTCGGACGCTGGCTCAAATCCTGGATTATTCTGACTTTCAACACTTAAAATATTATGGTGTGTTGAACACACTGAAAAACAAACACTTTGCACGACAGGCCATTTACATTACTCTCCAGCCTGCCCAGAGTATGGCCACTTCAATTTACTGTTCATCGGTCACTGGAAGAATGTCTACTCTGAGTTGGAGAATTCCTAGATCACTTCTGAGCCTAAATAAAATGAATATAAATAAAACCATACAACTCAGATATGAAATTCTGAACTTGAAACTTCATTTTTCATGACTTTTGTAGTTTAGAAGGAACTGAACTTCCACTCAAGGAATTAATGATCACAGCATTGCATTTTCTCTAAACAAATCATGGAATCATTAAGGTTGCAGATAACCTCTAAGATCATCTAATCCAGTAATTTCTATTCATATACTGCAGAATCAAGAAGCTGGCTTTTAATGTGCTGATACAGTGAATTTTTGGTGAGCAATGAATGCCCACTATTTTTTTTTTCCTATTTCTTCCCTAATTTCATTTGCAAATAGATTTTTTACAGTCAAAATATGAGCTTAATGTCTACAGAATCTAGTGAACAGTATTTTTTTTAGCAAGTGCTTCGTCTATATACAAAGTTTAGATGAACATTATCATCTAAACTTTCTGAAGCGAGATTATCATCTTATCTTTGTGAAGCAGCAGGATAACCAATGCTGATCAGCAATGCATAATAGCAATGCATAATACTGTAGAATACAGGAAAGAGTTCAGAAGCCAAGCCTTACAGATGTATGTGGACAAAAGGAAAAAAAATATCCATTCCAGACTAAGGGTTATTTTGGCTGCAGAAGCAGTAAAGACGTGAAATAAAGGTCTAGAGTATTTGCAGCTAGTACAGTTGTTAGTTGTGGTACTACTAAGTACAAACACCAAAGAATGACTCTGGTTAAAGTAATTTTTCATTTACTTATTTAAAAGTCAGGTGGTCACAATGCTGTGTTCCACTGAATTTGAAACCTTGCATGTGTTTATACAGCTTCTTTGTTATTTTGAACAAAATAAAGCTCATTAAAATCATCTCTAAAACAAAACAAAGCTTCACTTTTAGAAGCCATGAAAGGAAAATAAGAATTTTCAAACGTAATTGGGCTTATGTGCTTGTGGCAGATTAGCATTCGAACAAATTAACAGCTAAACAAAAGTCAGTATGAGAGCTCAGGCACTTGTCTCAAATTCATATTCATGTTCAGCAATACAGAGAGCCAAATTAGCTAATGCCATTGTCTGCCTGCTGTGCCAGAGCTGAAGTCAAACGGTCCTACAGAGGAGATGCACAGACCTTGCATTTCAGTTCTTGAGTTACTTATTTCCATTCACTCTAACAGAAAACACAGAAACTTTCGCTCTCCTCAGAGCTCTTGTTTTTTTCTATGATAGGAAAACATACCCACGGATACGAATAACTGTCAGGTTCTTGATTCAAGATGCTTTTGTTCTGGATGCATCACCTGCAGCACCCTGAATAGTACCCACCTACCGAAAAGAATGGCCAGTCTGTGGGCATCCCATTAGAGTCTGCACTGCCCTCTCTGCCCTGTCTGCTCACCTCACAGAAAAACTCGGCAGTGCTTTTGGACAGCGGCATTGGGAAGGGTGGAGGTAGAGAAGGAGAGAAAAAAAAACACAACAGAACTTCAAACAAAACAACATGGGAAATAAGGAGAAGGCCATATAGTTAGGAACTCGCCAGCCAGTAAACTTCATTTACATCTCCAATTCTTTCACTAAATTTTAGTAGACTACAAATTTTAGACCTCTGCCTACAGTGTTATGCATCTTCACTTGCATCCCTCTTGTATTTTCATTGTATTTTGCAGGACACATAGGTTTACCAGCTACTGTACAAGTCCGGTATAGAAACATATTCTATTCCCTAGCATCAGAAATTTAAACCAAAAATATGTTTAATTAACTAATAACATTAATACATACCAGAAAAACAGCTTACTAACTGCTACCAGCAGACAATTCATTGAATCAAAATGACATTTATTAGAATGTTAAAATAATTACTAAAATGTTTGTTCTGTGCTCCTCAACTTTGGTGGGAAACCAAATGAGCCACAGGTCTGATAAATGCCATCTACTGTCAGGTGGAGAAGATGTACACTTCAGTATAATAAGCCTGATATACTCTGATTCTCTATTCACAATGCTTATTTTGAAAGTATAAAATAAAGATATTATATATATAAATATAAATATAAAATAAGCCAAAATAAATGAAGAGACCAGTTTTTATTAGGGTTCCTTTTTTCCTTTTCTCACTACGCATGACAGCCTCCATTACAATGATGGAAACCAGCATGAAGGAAGAAAACAGTCACAATGCTAGGCTTGCCAATGCATAGGGATTATTCTTGTGTTTTCCACACACAGGTATAGCTCATCCCAGAATGCCTAGAATAAGGGATTGTTCATGGTATTTTTAATTGAAGCAAACATTTCCCAGTTTTTGTGGCTCTTCTACCATCAGCAGGTTCCTGCTATGGCATAGGTGCAGCTGAGACAGGAGGGGCCAGATTCTCAGCAGCATGAAGAGCATCAGTTTGTCAGTTCACAGCTAAATGCTTCCAGCGTGGCCAAGAACCACAAGCTGCTATTCTTCAGAAGCACCTGGCGGATTGGCAAACAACCTGCAGCAGTTTTGGGGCCGCCATCAACCTTCCTAGCAGTGGCAAGGACACTGCACGCAATGCACAGCCCCTGGCTGCACTGCAGATGCCCAGAAGCACCCCCATGTTTAGCTGAAGAGGGAGTGTTTGCTGAAAATCCAGGTATATTCAGCTTTTTACAAAAAGTGCTCTAAAAATAGGACAATTTTTTTTTTTTTTCCTGACTCAACTAGTTGCTTTCAACTAAAAGAACTGGAAAAAGGAATGACTTATAAACCTTTATTTTATCCCTCATTAAATTAACGTGCAGTTCTGTGTGTGAAGTTATGATGCTTGAGTTCCCATGTGCAATCTGTAGTGCCCAAACATGCCCCGCTTTCCCCCAGCATCACACAAATACTTTTCCTCCCTCAGCTGCCTACTTGGATAGAATCTGTGGGAGTTTATCATCCCTGAGAGCTCCTCCACAACAATTTCAGCTGCAGCTGGACAGAGAGTTAATTTTTTATACCGGAGAAAAAGAGAGGAGATTAAGATTTGTTGGGAAATTGTGATGGCAGATGAGTGTTTCCTCAGAAGCCAAGTGCAACTCCTACTGCATTTTACAAAACCTCACCCATTCCCCCTTATAGATTTATCACAAATCTGCAGTAGAAAATGACATAAATATATAAAGTCATAACAAGTCATTATAATTTTTCAGCCTGATACTGTTATTCCACTTTTATATGCCATATAAAGTGTATCTATTCCAAGATACTATTAATTACCAAATGAACAATTACTGGTTACAACTAAACTTCAAATTTTGCAGGTTAATCCAGCTGATGCTCTAATCTAAAAGATTAAGCAGTCACTGCATAACTTCATCTAAAAGTCTGGGAAGCATCAGACAAAGGATGATGCACTGGGAGCACTATCTCATGCCTAGCAACAAGTGTGTCAACTTGGTGAGAAAGTATCTGGCAAGGCAGAGCCCTTCAGCAGCACTGGAAATGTGAAAGCTCCAGTGATTGTTCACAGTCTCGAGACATTCTGACCTCCTGGACAATTTCAAAATTAAGGAATTTGCTGACTCTACAAACACGCTGCCTTTCACATGCACTGAAGTTTACCATACCTACTTCGAAGTGCCTGAAACAGAAATTGCTGTGTCGTCCTTATTTTACAGTTCTTTGGCATATCTTACTTGCAAGCGCAGTTGCAACACAGCTACTTGGTAAGTCAGATCCCAGAATCCTGAGATTTTTCCCTGGGATTTGAGTTGGAGCTGTTTTGGGGTATGAAAGCCTGAGACAGAATCCCTCATTCTAGGCCATCTGGTTTCCAGCTAACCGTTCCTTTATTTTGGCTTGGCTCAGACATTCTTACTGAAGTGTCAGATTTTCACTTTATGCAACGTCTTTTTCAGTCCTCAAAATGCTTTTAACTTTCCTTCAGATTGTGAAAACAATTCTTGCTAGGAAGAATTATATTTCCCAAGCTGCATACAATGGCACAGGCTCAGTAAGAATTCAAGTTTTCAAAAGAGAAGGAATTGATAGAGGTAAAACCAGCAATAAATTCCTAATATCTGATAGAAACTTAGACGTGACTTTTTTTTCCCGGCATTATTTCATTCGTCTTCATAACAAGTTAGGCTAAATAAATCACAGTAAAGCTATCCAAAGCAATTTGTTACCTTAAAGTAAGTTTGGCAGTTAGTGCAATAGACAGTGCTTTACTGCAGATTTCAAATCACTGGGAATGACACAGCATACATCAGCCGGGAGATGATGGTCAGAACGGGGCTGCTGTGCCACAGCCTAAGCGGTCCCTCATCTTTGTGCCTAGGTTCCTCTAAGCTATTCAACTGTTTACAGGCTTAATTCAGTTCATGAATGAAAGCAGAGGAACTCACTCTCTACATAAGTCTGAAATGTATTCATTCACAGCTTAAAAAAACTGTCCTGATAGTTTCGATACAGCCTTCCAAATGTACTCTTGTGGGAAGTTTACTGACCTGAGAATAACATTTATCTCTGACACTATTAACAATAAACAAATGCTGAAACAATTCTCTTGCCAATATTACAAACTGATTTTGATTTGATTAAATGAAAAATTAATTTACTTCAGAAAGTCCATGCAGCAATCTTGAAACATGAAACTATTCATAACCCAGCTCCACGTTCTGCACTGAGTTATTAACCACTTCAACTCCAGCAGAATGAATTCAGCCTATGTAACTTGTAAATGCAAGACATTACAAATAGAGCATTTCTCAAACTTTTGCTTACAATTAAGATATTGCAGTCTTTTGCAATTGACCAATTCTGCTGTGCTTCTCAGTGCAAGTGTACTATTTGCTTCCACGTTTCTGTGGAAAGGAGTATTAGATAGCAAGAACATGTGTGCCAGAACACAAAAGCTGAGGCTACATTACCACTGTTCACTCACGTCCCTGCTGTGTACTCTTTCTAACTGCTTATTTTTTTCTTGGGGATACTTCACGGGGTCCCAAACACCACAGTATTGCTACAGCTTTCAGCCTTCTTTACAGCCTTCAGTGTATCCTCATATCTTCTCTTTGAGACACAAAAACACTTTCAGTTTTTCAGGAGCGCAGACTTTGGTACAAACAGGATACTTGTCTAACAGCTACCACAGAAGTCATGTAGTATAACTTTTTCTACACCCTACAGAAAAATGGATGGGGAGAAAATAATTTTTTGTCCTCTGTGCATGGAATGAAGAGGCCCTGAATCCTTATGAGAGCAAGTTTGCCTTTCTTTAGCTAAGTGCAGAGAAAATCCAGGGTAGAAATGGCTTTTTCGGAATGTTAACTTTTTGTGACCTGCTTGACTCCCACTGATGGATTTCCTGATAGAAAAAATACATGGATTTAAAAGAAAAACTTACGATCTGCTAGAATGTGGGTCACTAAGCAGTTCTAAAAGATTTAAGTTACACGTATTTTTAGAGGAAATCACTTCTAATAATGTAAGAAACATTCCTGTGTTTTAAAACTATAATGCATGTTTTTTTCTTCCATCTCTACCTAGGTAGGCAGAGTACTCTTAGAAACAATTACTAACCCAGGTTAACTTCAGAAGAAAGTAGAGCAGCAACTCACTACACATAGGCCTCCACTAGCCAGCTAGGCTAACAATGTTGGCTGTCTTCCAGATGAGCACTTTCACTCTCTTGGACCCCTAGGGAGTAATGCAATTGCATGCAATCTGGAAGCTAAGGGTAAAAAAAAAAAGCATGGATTTTGGGAAGTACAGCACTACTTCATTTTTAATGGAAACAAAGTTGATTATTTTCATTTGCGCTTTCATACTTCCCACTCCTTTACTACTGCATTAACTCAGCAAACTGAAAAATCCAGCTGCTTTGTGCATGGGTTAAACCTCAACGGTGTCTCATTAAAATGTATGCCACCAATCACAGCTGGCTTCTATACACAAAAAATAAAAAAGTTTCTCTCAGCTGAGCGGCAGCATTGTATGCAGAGCAGTGTTCCTTTAGGGCATGCAGCTGAGTCAGGTTAGTGGGGCCTCAGGCACAAAACCAGCCATTTAAAAGAGAAAACACTAGTTAGCAAACTGTCTTACTTCATTTCTACATCCCTGTTCTTTCCCCTTTGGCATTTTCACTGGGAGGGCTGGCACTTCAAAGAAGTCATCTGCTCTTGCACTTGTCTTCTTGTGGTTGACAGAACTGAACTGGTGGCTGTATTAGAGGTCAGATGAAAATAAAACTACATCCTCTTGTTCGGAGAAGGGCTAAGACAGAAAAGCCAGATACTGCACATCAGCAGAGCAGTAATCTGAGAACAACGAGAACAGTGACCAGGAGAGAAGAACCTGGCAGAGGTCTGTGTGAAAGACAAGGGAACTAAACTATCTCTTGCCTGTCAGCCGCAGGCAAAGCATCTGTAAGACCTACTTGCAATGAACAGCAAGAGCAAAGCCTTTCAAAAGAAAGCAAAACCAGTGGCAAGCATAAAGTCTATTCCATCCACTTGGATATAAACATACTTAAGCCAGTTTGGCCTGATTTACTGAAAACACAGTTTTGGGTGACTGGTCAGAGAATACAGAATCACTTCACTTGCATCTTTGTGCAAGTCATACCACTAGAACTTCCTGCCCTGTTTATATTCTCACTTCATCTCTCTTGCATCCAATGTGTTCTGTCCCACTCCTGTCACTCCTCCCACTCCTGGAGGGGTATCTGAAGTATTTGTAGCTAAATCTGAAACATTTCTGAGTTGGGAAGTCAGCCCCAGTGGAAGCCTCTTGCCTGCCTAGTTTACTCGAGCCAGCTTTGCCAAGCCCAGAAAGCTGTAGCACTGCAGCATCAGCAGTATCACGTGATGCCAAAACTGTAGTGTTCAGTAAATATCATTCTCTTAGTGAATCATTTCCAGACAGCACTGAGGGATTTGGCCATTTCCACAGTAGGTTGAATAACAGTGCTCTAACTATTCAACAAAGGCTAGCAACACTTAATATATATTTCTGGCATTTTCCCAGCTGGATTCAGGGCACAATGAAACACCCATCCTTCTGCATTCTGCCTCAAAATTTCCTTGCAACACAAATTTAGTACTGAATAGCCTTCTAATATTAGATCTAGAAAACAAGTTTTATAGGTTGTTAGAATTATAGAGCATTCAGAGGATAGAACTATGGCAGCTTTTGGGAATAAACTACAGCCTTAAAAATGAAGCTATAGGACATGAATATTAATGAGTTAAATGTTTCTAAACTGTCTTTAATGCAAGTAAATATTGGCACAGTTGAGCTTATTCTCTTGTCTCAACTCAGGTCTCTTTCCAATACTCCATTCCAGTTCATTCTCCTAGTGCAGCTTCTGAACTTTTTTAAGCTCTCTTTTACCAACAAAAAGTTCCATTGTTTTAGCAGTGAGGTGAATAGCTAGGTCGAAATACTTTGAAATCAGCTTGGTCTTACAAGCAGTTTCTGTGTTCTATAAACAGAAATGAGTGCTTGTCAAGAATCCTACCTTCATCTTAGTTTCTGATTAAAGTAGTATTTTAGTCCCTTTCCAGCTTAATAATGTAGTAATTATAGCTAAGAAATGTGAAGTTTTTGCTAAGAGCTCAGCTTCTTCCCTAGCTAGTTTGAAGAAACTACAACAAAAATAAAACACAGAAAAAACCCCCACAAAAGCTCAGACCTCAGTTTTGTACAACATAGAACTTTGGTACGGAAGCATCGGCCCCTGATCTACCCTGATTGATACCATCAAAAACATTTAAGCTATGATGGCTTTTGTGTGCCATGATGAGGTGAGGGTATGGATTAGCCTGCAGGTACACATGTACAGCAGATGAAGTAATGCATGGGCTTTGAAGAAGTGAACAAGTATATAACTTTGGAGGTGTCCAACTATATTTTATAAATAAATACACTTCTTAGAGATGTGTAAACCATTTCTTTTTCTAGCCTTCATGACCTCCTATCCTTTGTGATCAATTTTTCATTTACAAAAGATTAGATGCTTCATGCAAGCTGGCACTTGCACACAGAAACACAACTTCTCCCAGACAGCACATTATTGTTTCTCTTACATACATACTCTCCACAAATACTACTTCAGTTCTATTTTCTACTTACAATGAAATGAGAGATTTCAAGCCTTTGAAGGCATCTGGTGCAATGTCAGATATCTGATTCTTGCTGATGTCTCTGTAAAAAGAAGGAAAGATTAAAAGAATATTTGTAAAATGGAATGGGATGAAAATATTTTAGCTTGAATATTTACATAATTGTAATGTTTTGGAAGAAGATGCTTGATACAGAAATGCAACTAAAACATGATAGTACCTCGGAGGAATTACAGAATGCAGGGACACAGACAGGAAAATTCCAGCAATGAACAAAAACCATCAGCTGTACGACAGGCTGAAACTTCAACACACTGCAACTCTCCTGTAGGTAGGGCCTATCAGGTTATGGGCATTGAAACAAAGAATTTTATGAGAAGCTTTTAACAGTAACAACAGCGCAGTGGCCCACTGAATATTAACTGTTTATAAAACATCTTCAGAACTTTTAATAGTAGATGTGGCACTGTGACTGTGCAAGGCGTCCCTCAAGCACGAGGGGCAGCCTATGCTAAAGCTCTAAGATGGCCTGTATGTTTAAACATTGGCTTGGAAGGGTAACTTAATAATAGTAAGCAGACCATATTTGGATTTTAAGTGACATCATAGATAAAGTGAGGAAATGTTCTGAAGTGATTAGAAAGTGCTGTCAGGACACACAGTAATGAAGAAGGTGGGATTAATGTTGTCTACGTGGTGCAGGCACTGGGGAATGGCTTCTGAAGCAGCAAGATAGGATTTGGCTACAGAAAAAAACTTTGTGGTAATTGGGGTGTAGAGATGAGCATCCTTATAAATATGAGAAATGTAGTATAGTTAAAATAAATTCCCATCTAAAGCCTAGGAAATTACACTAAGGGTTAGTCTCGGTGTACCCCTACCAATATTGGTGATTAGTAAGGTGACAAAATTCTTGTGATGTAGGACTTTTCCTGCACCAAACTCAGTTTGCTACTTATGGGAGAAGGAATGGGAAACAGATTACCCCCCCCTCCTGATCCCAGAGGAGGTGACAGTGTCACAGTTTAGCTTTGTACCAGTTATGCTTGTTTTCTAATGGCCTGGAGAAAACAAGCAGCGTAAAATTCTGCTAGGACCTTCATCTGGTGCAGTAGGTAAGAGGATTGACACAGCAATGGCAGATCTGCACCGAGTTTTCAGATGGAAGGGAAAAGATTTGAGTATCTGAATGGAAATCACAGACCTCTAAAGCCTTACACTCTACTGGTGCAGAATCCATTTGGGAACCTCAGTGAGATTTCTCCAATACTTTAGCTATGCTGTGTGTGGAATTCAGTCATACAATGCTGTCATTTGCTAGGGAAAGCGTGTTTCTTGATTGAAAAAAAACACCAACCAACCTTCAATCTTAATCACAACCAACCATGTATATATCAGCCAATTATAGGCTGCAATACCCTTTCTTCATATGTGGTGCCAAATTTACAGATGCTCAGATATGGGAGCCTTACTATGGCTGTCACTGCAAGCCAATCACGCTGTCAATCAGTTCAACCTGGTGCTTAGCTAAGGGCATAACTTTCAGCCGCTTTGTTGCATTCAATGATAGTTCATATCAACTTTTATCAGCAGTATCAAATAATTTAAATGATGGCTGAAGCTGGAGTAATGCAGCCTTTCAGCCTATACATCTCTACTCTAACTTCTGCCAGGGCAGATGCTAACAACCCTGGATAGATCCTCAATAAACACTATTTGAAAGTCAGGAATCAGAAAATAAATATGCTTTCTATTCTACACATGCCATGAGGTATAAATTCTGTTGGATACAATTTTAATGAACTGTTTTCAAATCTAGCTGCATAAAGCAGGATTTTCTTTAGTTCTTTGGGTCAACGAATAACTGTTACGCAACCTACCAGTGTTTTCTGTCACAGCATTCTGCCTACAAAGACAGCATTCAGTGAAGGTTTCTTGTTTCTTGGCTCAACTCACAGAAGCCAAGTTTATGACAGTGAAAAGAGGTATATTTAGTTTTCTGTCTTTTTTAAAATCTCTAGTGCTTGCTGCTTTTTGTCTTATAATTCACAAGCACAAGTCTGGTATGAATTTGTGCTGTTTATTGGGGATCACAATAGGATTTGCTAGAAGGGAATGAAATCAGCTTGCTGAACAGAGAATCTGAAAAGGGGAATCAAGTACTGGAAACAAGTATTTCGGCACTATTTTATTGACTTGCTACATTTCAGCATTTCCATGCTTTCTCTCTCCCCATGTCCAGATGCTAATGAGCATGTAACGAATGGTGCCTGAACGTGCATAAATGCCATGCTGAGTGATGAAACTTACCACTTCATGCAGATGCACTACAATCAGCATTAGAAGATAATTAGACACATTATTTCCTTTCCATTAGAGCCAGGATCTACTGCTGTTGGAAGAGGAGGCTCCATCTCCTTCTGATTTGACTGAGACAAAGGGATTCAATTATGTCATTGCATTTTTGCTCTCTTCCTTTGGTCTGCTGCTGTCCGACAAAATCATCTTATTTTGTGCTTGATTTACATCAAGACAAAGAGATAAGGGTTTCTCTAACCTATTAAGTCAATTTAGGTCTCATAGGGCTCATTTCCATAGTTTAGGGTATTGCTGAATCACTCAGTGGAACTGTGGCTCTTTGGCTGGAAATATAATAAACTTATCAGGATTCCACCCAGGCAGGGAATACATTAGTCACCACACACGCATTTCCCTGCAGCTCTGACAGCACAGTAGAGACTGTCTGCTTTCAAAGGGCTGCTTAACACACCTTGGAGGGTGGCAGCGGGTGGCAGTGCCCAGTTACCAGTTGGATACATAAACTGCTGATGACTTTGCAGTAGGGAATAAAGTGCACCTGTGAGTCACAGTATATATAACATTTGACTGCATGGCAAAGACATTGGCTTAAATGTCTTTACTGTGAAAGGTTTAGAAACAAAACATCTATTTTTAGATGCAGCCAAATGCAAAACTATTAGTGAACGAACACTCTCTTTGTTGACTAGCATTATTAGAGATAACCTGAAAATCTCTAACATTGAAACTGGGCTATTCTCATCTGACAAGAGTACTCAGTAAAAACCCATGTCATGTGTGGTTTAGTTTTTAAAAGCTGCTTCAAAAAAGTATCAACATCACAGAGCTACTGAGAAGAATGTCAAATCTCAATGTGTTTGCTGCTCAGATGTAGTAAAATGAATTTGAAAACATGAAATGCCATTACAAGCACTAGAGCTAAAGAGGTACATCCACATCTTTCAAAGTGTTGATATGCACTTAACTCAGCATTATGCTACAAACTTGTACTAGAAACCTCAGAAAAGCAAACACATAATGCAAGGAAATGATTAAAGAATGATATTAGCACAACTGTTAATACATAAATATATTAAAAAAGGCATGTATGGGTGAAGATATCACTGCTTTTCCTTGAAACAAATGGGATGTACCTTGTTCAAGCCCCCCCATACTCTTCTAGAGCCCCTGAGTGATTGAAGAGCAAGCAATGAGTTGTAACATTCTCCTCAAAATCAGGGGGACCATCATTCTGGATTGTATAATTCAACTGCACATTTGAATCCTACAAGTGTCTAGTCTGCCTTCTGAAGCAGTTACATTTAGCTTAACATAATCTACTGTTTGACAAAATGTGGGTAATTAGGGGAATTCCAGGTCACACAAAGCATTTTAAGCTCTTTTGCCAAAAACCAAGCACTCTGTCACACTGGAAGCTCTTGAAGAGACATTCTAAGTAACTGAATGTAGCTAGATGCAAATACAAAGTTGAACTAATCTACATACATCTTCTGGTATCATCCCAACCTACTGATATTAAGTCATTTAAAGATTAAAGTGGTTCCTACCTAAAAAACAGTACCAGTCATCTAATTATTTAAGAAAAGGAAATAGCATCATCTTGCAGGAAATAGTAAATCAAAATACTGAGAGCACTGCAAATGAGCAGTCTGTATCCTTAGCATTCCACCATATGTGCCCACCAGAAGGAGTAGAACAAAATAATATGATTCATGATATTGTGCTAATATTATCCCTTGAGTTCTATGAAAATATTATTTGTAATATCTATAGTAAGAAGAATAACAAAGTTCTTCATTTGTACCCAGGATAGGGCATCAATTAACAAAATGAATAATCTTCATGTGTTACACCACACACTGAAATGACAGTGTGACCATGCAAGAATGGAGACTTCAGTGCTATTAGGAATGTCTTGGTATTACCTTTATGGGAAAGAATGGATAATACTTGTCTTTTAAGAGATAATTTCTTGACAAGATATATCTTAATATACCTTATGTTAAAGATAATGCCAATTATCTCTTCAAATCATTGGACAAATTGTTTTAAACTTCATGTAACAATAACTGCTGGTCTAAAGCCTCACTGTCCAGTAGCAAAAAAAAATAAATAAATAAAACAAAAAACTTTAATAAGGAGACAGGTTGATAACCAAATTTCAAATCATCATGTTCATGATGGGACATTCTGCAGCCTAACTATCCCTAGGTCCTCCACGAAACAGCCACATGTTAATTAAGCTTTGACACAGATCATTTGGAAGGATAACTCATTATGTGAGTTCAGATCCCAGTGATGATGCCAGTAATACTCCAGAAAGCTGTTAACACAACTTGCTAATGGAATTCTGCTCTGAAATTCTAATATTAATCATTTCACCTAATAACTGCCACACTGGGTTGGAGGAGTTAGTCAAGTTACAGAACTTTTTTTTTTGTTAAGTCTCATATCAATTCTCAATCATGAAAAATGAAAGGATAGTAAAACACTGCCAAAATCTAAAATTAGTTATACCTCAGAAAGAACTCAACTAGTGCCTTTAATCATGAAAAAGTTACAAGTTAGGTCACTGAAAGGGATCTGTCATTTTTCAATGAAATTACTATCTCGCTATCTAATACAGTACTTCTTTAAAAATACATACAGCTATATTGAAAGTGAGACATTAGAACAGAGACTCTGCAAGATTGATGATTTGACCAGTTAAATATTAAGATCCATATTTACAGCTCTTCAGCTTTAGCAACTTGATAACTCTGGACCAGCAAACAGTAATTTCACTCTCAAATCCAACGGTACAGCACATTTCAGATTCCAAAAGCATTAACATTCTGATGATTCAGTAGCATTTTGTCAAGTCAGCTGACAGTTTCTTAATTCCAGAAAGCACTGTACACAGTAGAAAACAACAGCTGTAAGAGGTACCATTTTTAAGCAGTCTTAGCACTGAATACAAAGTCTGGACAACTTCTGGTCCAGTGGTACCCATCAACATCCTGATAAGATGGCGAGGCAGGAGTAACATTTTTCATCATTGTCTGAATCACAGTTCTGCTGTCACAACGTCTCTCATAAAGCAAGACAAACCAGGGGACCGACCAGCTTGTATGCATTGCTGCTACAAATCAAACTTTGTAAAATTTATTGTTAAATCCACAGAGACAACACAAGAGCTAATCAGGAAGGAATTGTCTGTGTATTCACCAGTGATTGAGAAATTGAGAAAGTGAGCTCCACTAGGCTTGTTTTCCTGTAATCAAGCAATTGAATGCAATATAAATATTCCTAACTACTCTGCAGGAACATTTACTCCTGCTGTAACAGGGGTCAACACAACGGAGTGCTGTGAACAAAAACCAGAATGAGTAAGACAAAAATACAGAATTTAATACTTTTTCTGAGTAAGCAGATTCGTTTGAACAGACTAACTAATTAGCTCACATCCTTTGAAAGGGAATTTAACCATTATAAAGGATTTCATGCACTGGTAGTCATCCTAAATCTAATCCTGTTGTTGCACACACTATGAAGAGATGATTTGTGCAATCCCCAGTGATTTCAACATAGAAATTGCCAATATGTTTCTAAAATAACACTGCAAAACGTGAAGCTAGAAGATTCAAAATTGCTCTTGCATTTTGGCCTTATTATTAGGACTTACATTCTCTTAAGTTTCTTGTACTGGGTAAAAGCTCCAGGGGGAATGATTTTGATGAGGTTTTGTTCCAAACGGCTGAAAACAAACAAAGAAATATACGTGTTATATACACAATTACAGGAGTGGAATAACAGTAAACATTAAAACTGTTGGGTTTTTGTTTGTTTGTTTTGCACAAATACACAATTATTTCATAGAGGTTTATACATGAAATAGATTTTCTTTTGAAAGCCCTAAGTGGAAAAAATGCTGAAAAAAAAATGCTTAGAAAAGAAATTCATCTCGTTGATTACATTAAGTTTGTATTTAAACAAACGAAAAAAAAGCTGTAGAAATTGCTTCTTTAAAGCACAAGGGATTACTTTAAAAAAATCCTAGGTATACTGTATGACTACTTAGTCAAAATTAAGGTAGAAAATACAGATGCTTTCCCTCACTGCACATAGCAGGTAACCAAACCGAAAGCGATGCTATTTTGTGACAGCTTAATGAGCAGATTAATAATACCAGCTGAGTGACTCAGGAGCAACAATCTGTGGGAACACGCCAAAGTTCCGCCCCGTATCCAACACTTGCATTAATAATACTACTGCAGAACAGTGTGGAAACCACTGCAATATAAATTCAGATTTTTAACTTTTTTCCTTATCTTTGGGGGAGGGGAAATCTATTTAAAACAGAGGAGAAAGGACTCCATGCTTCAATTTTCACTAACGAATATCGAAATTGTTATAAAATATGGTCCAGACTAAGTGAATATGCTGCTGTTTTCATTTCTGAGCTCTGTTTTGAAAGAAACATTCTTTATAAAGTAGCATAAATGCTTGTACCAATAACAAAAAGTGAGCAGCATTAAGATACTGCATGCAGTAACCATTAACGTGATTCATTTCTGTGCCTTCTCAGAAGCAAGATCCCCAAATACCTGCAAGAAGGACTGCTTTCTCCTCACATGAACCCTAAATATGCATCTCAATTACAAATGTAAAACAAGACCCCCCTTACAACAAATTCAGATGTCCGTGGCAGTTAAAATCATGCAAATGCAGCAGGAATAGAAAGCATGCTTTGATTTTACCTAGTTCTTATTATTCAAAAGTTGTGTTGCTGTTGTTGTTTTTTTTCTCTTCAAAAATGTGATATAAAGAAAGAGTTACAATAGCAGAAATCTGTGGTTGGAAATGCTTAAGAATTGAAATATGAAGACAGTGGAGTGAAGGAAGGAGCCACTGGAGTTATTTAGGGTTGCTGCAGCAGTGCAGAAGGGAGGAAAAAATTAAAGACCAGGAACAGAGGTAAAATGAGCTACAGGCAGAACTGAACGAAGGTTTTTAAGGACTATGGAAGAGGTCAGAGAAAAGGAATACAGCCCATCAACCCTCTACCGCACAGCATATCCTTCTGTTGATCTGTGCTTTCAACAGGCAAAAAATTCCCTTGAAAACACAGTATTTTGCCAGCTCGGTTACGCTTTGAGAAGCTATTTAAGCCATAAACATTGAGATATTTGTACAGCCAATTTGCACAGACCTTTTCATTTCTGTAGTAGTCTATTTTAAAGGCTGCAATCGGAGTTAGTTCTCTTCCTTGTTTTGTGATTTGAATTAGCATCTGAGATTTCCCTCCCTTGCTCTAAATATAACGGGCATCGTTCCCGGCCAGCCCGCAGTGCATGCAGATTGCTGCACGCTCAGCACACTGCTATTGTTGGGTGTTTGTCACCAGAATTAGCGGTACACTCTTCCCATAAAGGCTTTTTGTCAGCTTGCCAGCTCCGTAACTCCGCCCAAATGTTTCTAAGCAGACACTTCTAGGAACAAAGCAGGGCCCGCTTGCCCAGCTCCTTGCTGTATGAATGGGAATGGCACACAGGCACAGAGCTGTCCTCATGGTACGACCCAAACACACCACCAGGAGGGAAATACGGCCTGGTTTTATAACTGCTTCAAATTCCAAGGACATTTCAGTCACTCAGAAGTGTAAATCCACACAAAATAACCCCACAGAGCGCAAAAAAAAAACAAAATTGGAGTAGCGCAGACTTTGAGTGATACGACCAATTTCTGGAGAAGGCAGAGAGGAATACGAAAGGGCTGCTCCACAGCACAACCTGCACTGCCCTTTCCTAGAACATCTGCAGCAGTGGCCAAGAGATGAACAAGGCTGCTGTCATCTGCTGCTGCACTGCCACCTAAACACCTCACCTGTTCCTACTGTACGAAGCTCTTTGTCAAAGAAGGACTGAAGGCTACACATGGTGTTTCTGCTTGGTGCACTGTGCCTGCAGTTTGCAGATGCTCACACAGAAGCAACAAGTGGTATGGCAGGCTGAACCTTTCTCACCAGCCCTTGTTCTCGAGTGATTCCACCCTGGGAACAAAATGCAGCTGAACTAGAAGCTGCTATACCCAAACATGGCCTCAGAAAACTGTTTCTTTCATGGTCTGTCCGTGCATCCCGTGAAGCACTGACACACTATAAAACAACCTGCACTAGTGCAAAGGAACGAGATGATTTATTTTGTGCATCGCTGGAATACTCTATAAATTAGTTTTACAATACATTTGAGAACTCTGTACATGAGATGAAATCCTAAAAGAGTAAACTTTGATCATCTGAACTATTGTCTGCCACATTAAAGATTTCTTACAACTCAATAAAATTTTGCTCAATTTTCCTCTGGTATTTCATAATAAGATCCATTTAAAAGGCTACACAAGTTGAATTCACAAGGCTGATAAAATAAATTGGCCATGTTCAAACCTCTCAGGGGCTTTTGTTCCTCCTTTCAGTTACCCATTTCACTGTGCCTGTCGCCTGCTGCCAGCTGCATCATTTGGATGAACTGAAGCATATCTCCCCCCTCCTGACATACAGCAGTGCTGTCTGCCTCTTGAAGCTTTATTTTATTGCCTTCGACAACAACATCAAAGGACAAGAACAATTTCCTTTCCCCTCTCTAATATGTTATCAGAGATTGGAGAGTATGAGGATCCAATGGATTCAGATACATTTTTCTTGTAACAACACGACGCTAGACAGGATAAAGTCCTCCTTCTTCTCACTCTTCCTGAATAACTTTGCAGCAATAAGAGCAAAAAGTAAACATCGGAGAAAAAAAAAAACAAAAAAATAGGAAACTATGCAGTTAGATATGACAAATGATCCCAGAGCAAAGAATAAGCACTCAAATTCCCATGCTAACCCATCTCAGAGTTCACTGAGGTGCAAATCTTTTCATCACCTCCTCAGCTGGCGCCTGTACTGCTCACACCCAGGATGGCAAAACACAAAGGTTAAAAGCTCTCCCTAAGGCAGCCTTGCAGAGCCAGCTCAGCTCCCAGGGGTGACGAAGCCATTTGTCTTGAAGAATGATTTCCCCTGCAGAGTGGGGGAGACAGTTGTATTAATTTGGACCTTAACTATCTCTCTTTCAATGAAGGAAAGAAAGAATTTGTTACTTGGTCTCTAATGGAGCAGTTTGCTAGCAATTTTCCCATTTCAAACACCGTCTCAGCTGCTAATGTGTAATGTTTTGTCAAGCTTGCCTACCCATAACATAGACAAATCACTAGCTTAGAGAAAAAGAGAGAGGGAGTGAAGCATCAGTACCGATAATTCTCAGCTGTCAGATGAATAGAGCCTACAAATGAGACAGCCATGCTCTATTAACAGTGCCATCGAGCTCTTGCCTGAGATGTGTCAGAAACGTCCCTCTGAATCCAGCAGCCATGAGCTCCCTGCTGGGAGACAGCAAGCGAGTGAATGAGCCGGGCTGCTCCCCGCATCACGCTGCCAGCCGTGCTGTGGGGCTCACCAGGGCTCACATCACCCAGGCAGCTGAGAACTGAAAGCGATCTCCAGGAGAGAGACAGCATGAGATTGGATTAGTGTGCAGCAGTGACTGTCAGAGCTGGTCTCTGGCAGGATGCACAGCCTCTGTGAAGGTTCTTGGGAAGGGCAAAATGCTTTCTTCCCTCCTGCCCTATAAGGGGATTTTCAAGAGCCAATCGAGGCTATCTGGGAGAAATAACCCACATGTTCACCCAATGCTTTGTATTAAGGAGGATGAAACTTCCTGAACAACAGACAGCATGCTTGTCCTTGCCAAGGGGAGAGAACAACTGGATCACAAAAGCTGCTTGGACTATTATTTGCCATTTATCTCACATTCTGGACTTGCATATCTTATCATGCATTTTAATCTTCAATGAGGAAAAGTTCACAAATTTATTTTCAGTATTTAATAGGAATAGATCATACTTAAAATCTGGTTGTCTTACAGCAACTACGGGCTAGAGCCGAACGCCGTCCTGACCCCTTTCTTCCTCCACCCACAGCAGGCAGCTGCACTGATGGATTCACCCAAAGACAGCACTGCATAGGGGACACCTTCACGGGGTAGGGAGGAACCTTGTCCTGCATTCACACTGTCAGCACTTGCAGCTTACTCTGCAGTGAGAAGCAGACGTCTCACAGTCCCTGCTCTTTACACCGCAGCACTGCACAGGGCACTTCTCTGCAAAGCATGAGGCAAAAATCCTGCAGTTCTGTTGCTTTACAAAGTTTATAGACCTACACTAACAAGAACTAAATACCTCAGTGCTTGCTTTTTTTTTTAACTAAGATAGCTAAAACCTTTAGTCTCTACCTTAGCCAAAGATTGCCACTATAAACACACACAGTTCTCCAAGACTTTTATAATTCTACCTTTCATCACAGTGCCTGAACGACTTCCAAACAAAATTAATATCTATTATGAAAAGCTCTCTCATTGAGCCTGCCTCTCTGTGTTAGGAATTAGAGAAGTGAGAGCCAGTGAACTGTCCACCTATATTAATACAAGGTGACAAGCAGAGTTCCCCTTGAAGAATAATATACTTCTTATACTGATGTTTGGTGTTGATTTTCAGGATCCAGCAGTCAAGCTCCTCATGCTTCTCAGGCATTCATCTAAGGGCAAATTCTTAGTGGACAAAATCTCACCAAGAATGAAGTGGCATTTCAAAATAAATCTAGCTAGGAAGTTACATAGTTAACTCCACTAACCAAAAGGCATCCACCAGAATGAAACC